GCTGTCTGGTTAGCAGGCAAGTGTCTTAGCCACTATGCTACCAAAGCTCCCATATATATACATATATATGTGTATATATCTATATCTATATATCTCCCTATGTTAAAGATTCATAATGTCTTCCTTCTAGCCTAGATGATATTCAATATTTTTAGATACCAATTTTTTCTTTTTAGAAAGCACCTGCTTGTTTTCTGAATCTACTCATTCACTGAACGTGGGACAGCAATCCTTTCTCACTGGCTAGTATCTAAAAGCCATGCAGAATTCATATCAGGGGGGACATTAGTGTGCATAAATACTTTGGAAATAGATCACTAAAAAGTGGTAAGAGAGATGAGGCAACATGAAGACAGTTCAGCTAAAGTCAATGAGGAATAATTACTTCTTTCAAAGAAATTATTATGATTCCTTAAAAACCATAAGAAGTCAGACTAAGTTGCCCAACATTCTAGATGCTTTCCCCATGTTTTATTTTGGAAAAAAAAAAACTGAAATATTAACATCACATGAGGTCATGCTTCAGCCAAAAGAATAAATAAATGACTATCTAAAACAATATCTTTTAGCTCAAGACTTTTTTAAAAAATAAAATTAAAAAAAAACAAAACTAACCTTAAGATTAAGCTAAGTTAGTTACACAATTATGGCAAAAATTCTTCAAAGTAAGTGAGGTATTTAGATTCTTCAAAACTGCAGGTGTGCAGTACCGGGCATGTGGGTAAATTAAATGACAATAACGTTTAGCAATGAAGGAGTAAAAAAATATGTCTGAACTCCTTGGATAATATATAATAACCTGAGCTAAAGGGAAAATGATTAGATCCTGGCAACACACAGCTCAGCAAGTCATTCACCATCAAATACTCTGAAGCAAAAAAAATCTATATTCACTCAAGAATAACCTTTTCACATAATTGGGTAAAACATTTCCAAAAGTTAGTAATTAGACAAATTATCACAAATAAATCGAAACTCCTAAAATGCAGGTATTACATATCTAATCTGTACACTAAGCTAGTGGATTAGCAAAAAGAGTTAAGACTTTTGGTTGTAAAATTATCTATTTCCTTCCATCTGTTTGGTTTTCAATGGAAAATATAAAGCTTTTACTACGTTGAAACATTTTACAGCTTCACTGAAGAGTATTTGGTTTTGGATAAGGAAAACATGGGATTTTAGGTTATTAACATACATATTTTTTATAATAAAAGAATATCTAGTTGGTACTTGGGAGCTCTGGTAGCCTAGCGCCTAAGGCACTTGACTGCTAACCAGAAGGCTGGCGGTTCAAACCCACCAGCCACTCCTCGGAAGGAAGATGGGGCAATCTACTTCCGTAGTGATACTGCCTCGGAAACCCAAGGAGGGGTCGCTATGAGTCGGGTCCGACTCGACAGCACATAACAACAACAACAACAGTTGGTACTTAGGAAATGTGTGTCCTATTCATTGCTCCACTGATAACAGGAATAATTCATTGGACACGTCAATTATCTGTTTTGTGCCTGAGTTTCATTATCTGTAAAATGGAGCTACAAATATCTGTGTTCCATTATTCACAGGAATATTATGAGGATAAAGTAAAACACTAAAAAGCACTTTTATTTTTATTAAACACAATATAAATGCTGTATCTTGATATTATTGACTTTATAGTCTTTCTTCATTATACCCAGTCAGATGTGTGCTTAAGGTAAGTTTTCCTACAAGATCACAGATTGAATATTTAGCTTGATTTTATTTTAAAAATAATAAATCACAAAAGTAAAATATGTGAACGAGGTCACTTAACCCTCTCACCAGGTTTTTATTATTGTTGTTACTATTATTACTCTGTAGCTATATTTTTAAAAGAGGAGGTTTTAACATGTCAGCCTAACTGGAAAATGTGTCTCTGGCACAGGTGGCTTTCAGAAGAAAAGCTGATCTTCACAAGAGCTGTGTCCTCTGCTTTGATTTTAAAGTGCAGAACCTGGGTGGGAAGGGACAGAGCAGGAACTTCGGATCTGTCACTGAGGAACCAATTCCCTCAAAGAGGCCAGAGCAGCGTGGATGCGCACATGCAATCTGTTTTCAAAGTCGTAGCCAGAGAAGTCCTCCTGCAAGACCAAAGACAAATATTTATGGAATCTGTTAGCTAAGCTTTCATAGGGCACGGCAGTATAAGCCACATTCAATTTTCTACCTCCCAATAAAGGCTTCTCATCTATTTGATCTTATTTCCCAAACCTCAAACTTTCTTTTCTTTTCTTCCTTTTTTTTTTAATGTCAACTGAATATCAATATTGTTTTCTTTGGAAAATTTTCCTCATGTTATCTCTGAAGCAGTAAGTAGTCTTAATACATGCTCAATGTAAAGTTACTGATTATTGTTGTTGTTATGTGCCGTCGAGTCGGACCTGACTCATAGTGACCCCTCCTTGGGTTTCCGAGGCAGTATCACTACGGAAGTAGATTGCCCCATCTTCCTTCCAAGGAGTGGCTTGTGGGTTTGAACCGCCAGGCTTCTGGTTAGCAGTCAAGTGCCTTAGGCATTATGCTACCAGAGCTCCCTACTGATTATTAGGCTTTCTTAATTCAAGAATACAGTTTTGAAAGCAAAGTTATTTTCCCACTAAAACACTTTTTGTGGGACTACAGTGTTTATAAAATAGGATGAACTAATGAATAGGAGTTTCTTATGACACTGGTAACTTTACTTAAAGATCCATAGAGATACCCTCCTCAGAAACCCAAGGAGGAGTCACTACGAGTCAGAACCGACTCGATGGCAGTGAGTTTGGTTTTTTGGGTTTGCTGATTCAGTTAGTTACCTCTTCTCCTATCAAGAACTATTACCAACCAGAACAATTATTTTTACAAAATTTCTTGAATTCAGACTCAGATGTATGCTTCAGAGGATACAAAGGGCCAGTGGAAAGAGGTAGATCCGGCATTTTTACCTTTGCCTGAAGGAGTAGAGTTCTGCCTCTGGCTACTGTCTACAGAGGTAAGAAAAAAATATATTACCTCTTAATAAACACAACCATATATATACAGGAAACAACAGGAAGACATGTTCATTAAAGCAAACATTGTAGACAGACAAGTGGGTCAGTTTCTCAATCAAGTATAATGACTCCATTTCTCTTCAATATAAAGATGTTCATTAGTTTATATGAAGGCATCATATGATAAATCATTTTTCATAGTCTACATTATTATTTTAGAACAGGAAACAACCTAAAAGAGTTATAATTACTTAGTTTAAAATCTTACCAAACACTTAAAATTGATTATAACCAAAAGGTTTTACTTGAAATTAGTAAATTATATTTCCTTTGACAGTATTATAAATGAGGCCATCAATTTCATTTATATTTCAAGAAACAGGCCAGATCTGTTACATTATATACATGTATGTATATGAATATGTATATTAAGAGTAAAATTTTCATTAAAATAAAGAATATAATGACAGTAATTTCTACCCACATTCATAAAAACTGTCTTCTGTTTCGATAAAATAAGACTTTCAAATTAAAAGACTTTCTAACTAAAAGCCTATTTTGGCAAGGTAAGTTAAATGTTTAAAATTGAGGATACAGCCATATTTCTTTGATTTAGCCTAGTTTTTACAAAGTTCATATATTTAAGAGCTTAGTTGAATTTAATGAAGTATTAGAATTTTATAAAGGCAATATTATATAACTGAGCTCCTAAAACAAAGTACCAAACAAATTTAGGCACTACTGAAATCTATTTAAAAAACAAACCACCAAAAACAAAAACAAAAAACTACCCCACTGTATGAATTTAAATATACATCTTAATTGTTGTTGTTGTTATATGCCATCGACTCATAGCAACCCCTCCCCTTGGGTTTCCCAGGCGATATCACTATGGAAGTAGATTGCCCAACCTTCCTTCTGAGGACTGGCTGGTGGGTTTGAACTGCCAGCCTTCTGGTTAGCAGTCAAGTGCCTTAGGCATTATGCTATCAGAGCTCCCATACATCGTAATAGTAACCATCAATTTAATTTTGTATTGTAATCTAAAATTTTCAAAGCAATCAAACACTATTGAAAAACCAGAAACAAACAAAAACCCAGACCCATTGAGTTCTAGTTGATTCCGACACATAGCGACCCTACCCAACAGAGCAGAACTGCTCCATAGGGTTTCTAAAGTTGGAATCTTTACAGAACTGCTTCTGTAAAGAAGTAAGATATGGTAGTAAGAACTGCCATATCTTTTTCCCATGGAGCGGCTGGTGGGTTCTAACTGCTGACCTTTCAGTTTGCAGCTGAGCACTTAACCACTGTATCCCTATGGCTCCTTTATCTTACTATAATTTTTATTAAATTGGCAAGGAAAATATTATTCAACTTTACACAGTAAGAAAAAAAAAGTAAGTTGTTAAGTAATTTAATCAGTGTCAAACACTAAATGCCCAGGCTAGTATCATAATTTAATTGTGTTCTTCTGAAAAAACCACACTACATCACATAGTAGGAGCTCTGGTAGCCTAGTACCTAAGGCATTTGACTGCTAACCAGAAGGCTGGCAGTTCAAACCCACCAGTCATGCCTCAGAAGGAAGAATGGGCAATCTATTTCCATAGAGATGCTGTCTCAGAAACCCAAGGAGGGGTCACTATGAAAAAGGCAATATTTTTCCCTAAAATCAATCATTATCTAAAAAGTTACTTTATAATTCTAATTCCAGAGAAGAAATTCTCTGCTTAAAAAGAAAGATTTGTAGCTTCTTGGATTCTCCTAAAGTGAAACCAAGGAAAACAAAAGAAAGAATACTATGTTCAATCCAACTATTTTAAATAAAGAATGCTTTGTCCCTGCTCATCTGCACATCTCTCAGGGTGAAGAGTATTTTAAGAATATGTAAGAGCTTACCTCTGGTTTGTCTAACAGAAGACAGCCAAGTTCATAGCAAGCATAGGGCTGAACATACAAGTTATTCTGACGACATAATTCATCTTTAACAGCTCTCTGAAAGAACTGAAAGCAAATAATACAAATGTTATTGGTATGAATTCATTTTCCCACTTAGTTTAAGGCTCATCATAATCTTCAGGAGGCAGGACCGAAAGAAGACTCGGCTTCTTTATTCTATATCACATTTTCTCTTCTTTTCTCATCTTCATTCCCTTCCATCAATTCCAATTCACAGCTCTGGTAACCCTCATCCCTTCATTCTTAGAAGTCCTTTACATGCTTCTCTAGTGAGTGTCCTCCAGAGTTTCCTCATCAGCCAACCCCTTTTGGGCTATTTATTTTTCCAGGAAACACACCAGCCTGTACTGAATTTATTACTGCGAACTCTGCATCTCAAAGTCTGAACATCACCACTTTCATATTTAAAGCAGAGAGCCAACAAGCCAAGAACCAACTCTTCACATGTGAAGCATCATACTGGTACTTAAATGTGTCCTCTCAAATAAGCCTTTTGGACCCGTGTCATTACTTTAGTGTGTTCCACACTGAGAGATTAATTTAAAAGTATAATATGAGTGCATCAATGGTCTAGGATTTAAAAGCCAAAAATCTCTCACTACAGAACTCTCCCAAATAGCAATCAAAATAATATGAAGATAAATTCTTAAAAATATCCAACCAAACAAATGAAAATATCAGTTAGAAAAAAGGCTTATACTATATTTGAGAACAATTAACAGTTCTTATTCATATATTAAGAGGTCTGATGGTATAGTGGATAAAGCACTTGACTGATAACCAGAAGGTCAGCAGTTCAAATCCACCAGCTGCTCTACCGAAAGATCACGGGACAATCTACTTCTATAAAGATTTACAGTCTCAGAAACCCAAGGGGGTCACTATGAGTCGGAAATGACCCAATGGCAGTGAGTTTGGTGGGTTTTTTTTTTTTACTATTCATATATTATGTCACAGAATATCCTAAACCTCCAACATTCAGATGATACAACCTTGCTTGCTGAAAGTGAAGAGGACTTGAAGCACTTGTTGATGAAGATCAAACTTCACAGCCTTTACAGTACAGATTAAAACTCAACATAAAGAAATAAAAAATCTTCACAACTGGACCAATATGCAACATCATGATAAATGGAGGAAAGAGTGAAGTTGCCAAGGATTTTATTTTATTTGGACCCACAATCAATGCATGGAAGCAGCAGTGAAGACATCAAATCATTATTATTATTTTCATTGGACATAACTGCTTTAAAAAGACCTCTTTAACATGTTAAAAGTTAAAGATGTCACTTTTAAGACTAAGGTACACCTGATTCAAGCCATGGTATTTTCAATTGCTTCATATGCATACAAAAGATGAATAAGGAAGACTGAAGAAAAATTGATGCCTTTGAATTATGGTGTTTGCAAAGAACATTGAATATACCATGGACTGCCAGAAGAATGAACAAGTCTGTCTCGGAAAAAGCGCTGCCAGAATGCTACTTAGAAGAGAAGGTGGCAAGACTTCATCTCATGTACTGTGGACATGTTATCAGGAGGTACCAGTCCCTGGAGAAGACATCATGTTTGGTAAAGTAGAGGGTCAGCAAAAAAGACGACAACCCTCAATGAGATGGACTGACACAGTGGCTGCAACGATGAGGTCAAACAGCCAAGACTATGAGGATGGCACAGGGCTGAGCAGCGTTTCATTCTGTTGTGCACAGGGTCGCCATGAGTCAGAGCTGACTGGACAGCACCTAACAACAGCAACAACAACACACCTTTCCAGCCCTCATCACCAGTCCTGCCTCAGCAATCTGCAGGTATGAAGAGAGAGGAAAAGTGAACACATGCCGATAAGCCTGATCGTTTTTGAATTTCTTTAACTTATAAGGCTTCAGTCAGTTCTTCACTGCCTTCTTATTTCTCCCTTTCTCCAATTGAGACTGTCATCTCTGATAAACAGCCAGTGCCAGAGAAGAAGCCCCTATGTAAAGAAGTATTCCATTACAGAATCTGAACTTACATTAAAACCAGTATTAACTATCATCAGCTTCCAGCAACTCAAACTGACAAAAAATTAAATAAAGTGGTTTAAAGTTCAAATGAAAATACTTTTTCATTTTTCTTATTCACAAGAGCATATATGTAGGTGTCTGTGATTGATTTCCTTTAGCCACAACAACAGTATTAACAGTTACCTGAACAGCATCCTCTGAGTTTCCTAGACATTTGTGTATGGCACCAAGAAGCAAATACTTTAATCCAACAACAGATGAATCATCCACTTCATGGCAAGCTTAAAGAGAAGAGGAATGAAAACAGCAGGAAGGAAACACATTCACTTAATATCCTCAACATCATCAGCAGTCAAGTAAACATTTCATTGTTTAGCTAACTTGTTCAGTTCTGTTGCTGCCCCTGAAACCCAGGAGGTGGTATCCCTTCCTCATTCACAAGTAAGCATCCTTAATCAAAGAAAGGGCACTAAGTCAAACTTAATTAATCACATTAATTTCAACAAATATGCAACAGGCACCTTTATATGTGGTATGAGGTCACTGAGAGGGTATCAGACCTGAACCCTCCATGTCAAGAAGCTTGCCATATACTGTGCAGTCATCACATATGTCTGAGGATGCTACGGAAGTTCTCCAAGGAAACAGAAAGGATGGAAAGTGGAAACATACTGGACGTAATAGAGGAGGAACGATCATGATGTAATTATTTCTATGAGTCAGTACAGAACTTGAGATTTGATATGATTACGTGTGTGTGTGTGTGTGTGTGTAAGAATATGTATACCCCCTATACACACACACACACACACATATTACTCAAAATTACAGAATAAGTAACTGGAAGAGCGGTGTAGGAAGACTAATGAGGAAGTAAGTATGAAGGAGAATAGAGTTTGAACCTGTACAAGCAAGTTTTCCCCCAAGTGCCAGGCTGGGGATGCCCCCACATAAAAAGATGTCAAAAGATTTTAGGCAGCAGGGTCAAAGAAAGGAAATGCAGTTCATCCACACTCCCATTCTATAGTTAACTGAGCACCTACTATGTGCCAGGCAGTTCTGGGTGCTTGGAATATAGCAGTGACCAAAACAGGTAAGCATTCCTGCCCTCAGGAGGCTTACATTGGGTGGGAAAGACAGGCAATAAAAACAAAAGAAAGTAGGTAAAATACTGTTTTTACGTAAGTGTAACTCTGCTGAGGTGAAAAAATAAAGCAAGGAAGGCGTGAGTGTTGGAGATAGTGTTTAAGCTTCACTGAAAAGGTGATGTGAGGAACAGCTGAACACAGATCTGGAGGAAATAGTAAACGAGCCACGTGGACGTTTGGGGGAGGAGTGTGCCCAGGCAGAGAATACGAGTACAAGGCACCAAGGCCAACATGTGCCTGGTGTGTTCAAGAACAGTAAGGAGGGGTGAGGCTGGAGCCCAGTGAGCAAGAGGAGAGAACAGTGAGAGGGAACAGAGTTCGGGGGGTTTCAGGTTTTAGGGTATTGCAGGCCACTGAATGGACCTGGGCTTTCACCTTGAGTGAGCTGATAGACCTTGAGAGGGTTTTGAGAAGTGGATTGATATGATATGGCTTAGGTTTTAATAGGATAATTCTGTATGCTATAATTAGAATAGAGAATATCTTAAAAATGCAGAAGAAGAATACAGTGGAGGGGGTGGGGTGGGGTGGGGGCAAAGGGCTATGTATGAATGAATCCACAAGTCAGGGATATAAGAATCTAACTAGCTCTGCTGAGAAAGGGAGTTTCAGATGAGGGCTTTGATAAACTGAGTGCCTAAAATTAGATAAGCTTCACACAAAGGGTTTAATGAATGCGTAGGATCGACATCACCCATCAACTTTTTCTGGAACTTATTTCTGTCTAAGAAGCTCTGATGGCACCAGTGGTTAAGGCATTCAGGTACTAACCTGAAAAGGTCAGCAGTTTTAACCCACCAGCTACTCCATAGGAGAAAGACGTAGCAGCAGTCTGCTTCCTTAAAGATCTACAGCCTTGGAAACCCTATGGGACAGTTCTGTTCTGCCCCATAGGATTGCCATGACTTGGAATCGACTCAGTGGTAGTGGGTTTGATTTTGGGTATTTCTGTATAAAGATGTCACCATTCTCTATTATGTTTATGTCAATTTGGATCATTACTGCTTAACTAGGGAGTGATGTAATCTAACGACTAGATCTCAGTTTTAATTAATATTTAACAAAGATATTAAATAATTCTCTCCTGTTTATTCCAGAACCTGACTCCCTCTCCATGACCACATCTTTGTGGCCAATTTGTTTCTGTTGATACCTGCAAAGGGGTTCAGAGAATGTTTAGTCAAATCTCATTTAAGCAACAATCATTCTTGTGCCTGTCAACTATTGCCAATCTTATATTGGCATTTATAACTTTGATTGTCTCTAAACAGATGATCCTACATGTGTGCCTTAAAATAACACTTAAAATCTTTTATAGTCCCTCTGAATTAGATATTGGTAGGTACTCTATACTTGATTGAAAGAGGGATGAATTTAAAATCCTACAAATCCTTTTTTAATGAACACAGCAGACCTTTATCCATCCATGAAGACTGTTTCCTTTCAAGTAGTCCTCCTGGGAGGGTTGCACACACCCAATTCAACTTCAGGACCACTGTACAAAACTCCCTTTGGACTTGTATTTCTTTGACCTCTGGACTATCAAGACTGGCAAACTTCTCACCTTTGAAAGTGGACTTCTTTGGAATCACACAAAACACATCAGCAGGGAAGCTGATGTTAAGGCTTATGAATCAATGGATAATGCCATATTTGGTTAAAAACAAGTGTGACCATAGAGAAATCTGACAAATGTCCCATGGTAGCATATAAACAAGTTCTAGATTAAAGCAAAAATATGAATACTATATCTCTTTTGATACAGGGCAGCATATATGTGAATAAGAGTGTATTTCTGAAGATAAGTACTTTCTACATAGCCCTTCTTTTTGGCACATATCCACTTTTATTTTAACCCAGCAGTCTCATGTTGTAACCACACTCCTAGCTGCATCACTTAAATATCTTCACACTCCCAGGAACAGATGGCTTTGTGTTGGAGAGCTGAAGCCTTGCTACTTCATTTGTTGTCCTCAGCCCAGCAGCAGACACTCCCTCCTGTGTGACTGGGCAAATCTCTTCACTTTTCTGAGTCTCAGTTTCCTCATTAGAAAATGGGTATGATAATCCTGTCTGTCTGTCCTCCTCCCTGGGCTGCAGAGTGGGGAAAATTAAATAATTTGCCAGACTGTAAGGTGTCATTCAAATGTCTGTCATTTAACCTTTCAAAGAAAAATAACTTTATTTTTTTAGTAACCAACAAAGTCCTATTATAATTAAAGATTTGGTTTACTCTCCCTATAAATTTTTCCTACCACTATAATATAAATGACTTTATCAAGGTTATATTACCCTAAACTATGGTCTTAGGTTATTTCAAATATATGAATTTATTATAAAATAAAGGGTATTAATTATACTTCTAGGTAGTCACCCAAGAGAAATGTGCATGTATGTCCACACAAAAGACTTGTATACTTATGTTGTATGCTTATGTTCATAGAAGATTTCCTCATGATAGCTAAACACTAGAAACAAATCACACATCCATCAACAGACCATTTTTGTTGAATAAACAAATTGTTGTATAGCTATAGCCATATTCTGGTAACCTGGGTAGCACAAACGGTTTGTGCTCAGCTACTAACCTGAAAGTCAGCAGTGTGACCCTACCCAAGAGCACTGCAGAAGAAAGGCCTGGTGGGCTGCTTCTATACAGATTACAGCCAAGGAAACCCTATGGAGTACAGTTCTACTCTGTAACGTATGAGTTCACCATGAGTTGGAAGGGCCTGACAGCAATGGTGATTTTTTGGATAGCTAAATGATGAAATACTACTCTACAAGTGAAAGGAACACACGACAGATACAGGCTACAACACGGATACAATGGATAAATCTTGCAGACGTTAAATTGAGGAAATGAATTCAGGGGCAAAGAAATACATGCTGTATGGCTCCATCTGTATGAAGTTCAAGGATAGGTACAACTATCTATGGAGATCAAAATCACAACAGTGGTTGACATGGGATGGGGTAGGCTGGAAAGGGGCACAAGGGAAATTTTAGGGGTGGTGGAAATGTTCTGTATCTTGATAATGGTGGATACCATGCTATACTTATCTATCATTAGGAAAAATATGTATGCTTCCATGGCCATAAAATTAATGACATGTATAATAAGTGTGCATTGTACACCCATATACTAAATGTGCATCAGTCCTAAGAATGCAAGTGTGTCTGTGTGACCTAGTGCCCCCTACTCCTATCACCTAAGCAACTGAATTTTCTTAGTCTCTCTCTGGTACCGTAGTGCCTAAGGCACTTGACCGTTAACCAGAAGCTGGCGGTTCAAACTCATCAGCCACTTCTTGGAAGGAAGATGAGGCAATCTCCTTCGGTAGTGATACTGCCTTGGAAACCCAAGGAGGGGTCACTATGTGTTGGGTCTGACTCAACAGTATATAACAACAACAACAACATACCATTTATATAAGAATGACAGGTTTGTGGTAGAGCTTTAGCCTGAGTCACATAACATTAATGACAAACTGAAGAAAGTAGTGCCAAAAAACAAGCCAATGTATACAGTGACTTTTTTTTTTTTTTTTTACCTTGACTCATCCTCTGTAGGTTGGGAAAGGAACAGTTTGGAAGGGCTTTCCACAAGTATAACACTTCAATAGATGCCAGCACACAGAGCACTCTGGTTGGCGTTTGTTTCCGAAATCTCTCTGCCTGCAAGTAGTCAGAATGATTAGGCCACATTTTTCTAAAACAACTGAAAATAAAAATACGCCTTTGAAATATTTAAAAATGCATAGTTCATAGTTAATGTAACTGCCCTGTCTTATTCCCCATAAAGCCGAAGGTTTGTCATATGTGGTGGCTTGCTTGTGGCTATGATGTTGGGAGCTATACCACCAGCATTTCAAATACCAGCAGGGTCATCTATGGTGGACAGGGGCTTCTACACTAAGACAGACTAGGAAGAAAGACCTGGCAATCTACTCCAAAAGTTAGCCAATTAAAATCCTGTGGATCAAACAATACTGCCTGAGACTTGAACTAGCTTACTTTGGACTAGTCATTAGGAAGAACCAATCGATGGAGAAGGGCATCATGTTCGGTAAAGCAGACGGCCAGTGAAGGCAAGGGAAACCCTTAATGGGAGGGACTAATATAGGACTTGCAACATTGGCCTCCAACATACTAAAGATCATGGAGATGGTGCAGGACTCGGCAATAGTTCATTCTGTTACATATGGGGTCGCCATGAGTCTGTCAACCCTGTGCCAATGACAACAACAAGCTCTCCCCTATAAAACTAAAAACGAAAATTTCTCTATATGTTTTAAAATTGTGCTCTCCAAGTTTTAACATATTGGTATATATAATTTTCATTCCATATTCAATTCAGTCTACTATCAAGATCCAGGGTATAATCTGGAAACTTGGGGATGAAATCACATTCATCTTAGTTTAAATCTATGGAATTCATAAAATTTGACTGATAAAAAATAACTCGATGGGTCTATTGAGGGGACAAACACTAGATGCCTTTCAGACACAGTTCTACTGACTTCTTAATTTTCCAATTAGCCCCAGTACTCTCAGTTGCATTCCACATTATATTCTAATTTATACACAAAATAATTTATTAAATGTTTATTCAATAAAATCTTATAAAACTAAAATCATGGGAAAATAAGGATAAGGTAAGATGGATGTAACCCAAGGTAATTCAGGTAAATTTCATCCTTAAAACTACAGAATAAATTAGAGACATTATCTCTACAGTTCTCTGCTGGCATAGTTGATGCACACTTTTGTTTTTTATTAAGTCAAAATATGGCATGTTCACTCATTTGACCACCAGACTTTCTGTATCTCTCCCCCTGGCCCTCCTCATTTATATCTTTCTGCAACAACTTAACTTTGCCTCTCCAGACATGGTCATCAGCTCTGCAGAGTCTGTAATGTCTCTACTCATTACAAAGCAGCAGCAGCAGCATATGCTGTAATTATTTGCAGCAAAACAAGGATTTTCTATTCAGAGCAGAACTATGATCATAGGAGTAAATTCTCTCCCCTGTAATGAACTGCAACTTACATGGCAAGTAAGTCTTGAACATGATCTCCTAAAATCTATCCAAGGTAGTAAAATCTATCCAAGTATCCTAAAATCTGTTACAAAACCCATTAGAAATAATACCCCAGAGGAAAAGGCTTTAACCTACCTTTTTCACTGAGAACTGTTCAATCTGATTGTTTTTCCTTTTGAAGAGTTTTTGAACCTCTTTAAAGACAATCTGTGCCCCATCCACATCACCAGTGGCTCCCTGACATACTGTAAGAAATCACAGTATTATGGGGGGGAAATTATCACTAAAGGTGGCACAAACAGTTTATATTTAGCTACTAACGGAAACACTGGCAGTTTCTGTGTTCTTTTTGTGAAAGAAAGGACTTCTGTAAGATTAATTAAAAACAAACACCTCACTGCTATCAACTTGATTCATAGTGACCTCCATTGGGTTTCTGAGGTGGTAAATCTTTACAGAATTAGATTGCTCCATCTTCCTTCTACAGAGCACCTGATGGGTTTGAACCACCAACCTTCTGGGAAGCAGTCTAATGCCTTAGGCACTTTAGCACCAGAGCTCTTTTCTGTAAGATCATAGGCACTGAAAACCCATGGAGCCCAGGTCTACTGACACACATGGGGCCGCCATGAGTTGGAACTGACTCCACGGCAATACATTTGTTTGTTCGTTACCTATACCTTTGCTAATGATACTTAGAAAATGTTACCATGGTATTGGCGGTGGGTACAAATATTTTTAAAAGGCAGCGACAGAAAGCAATGCATCATCTTCTGCATAGTCAGTCCGCTGATTCCACACCTATTTCCCAGGTGCCTGTGCTCCCAGAGTTTCGAGGGACATAGGAGTTGGGGTCTTGTTCTCTTGTTGGAGAGACAATCTTACACATAAAAAAATCCCAAGCTAGTGTCACAGGAGTGTACAACCCAACTGAAGCCCACATATTCAGGAAGTGGAATAAAAAGAAATCTAGCAAAGACCTGTCTTAGAGGCAGTACAGCCAGGATGCTCCTTAGAAGCAAGGATGGCAAGACTCTGACTCTCATACTTTGGGTTTGGTGTCAGGAGGGACCGCTCCTCGAGAAGGACATCATGTTTGGTAAAGTGGCAGAACCAAAAACCACACTCACTGCTGTCGAGTCGGACGCGACTCACAGCGAACCCTCCTTGGGTTTCTGAGGCAGTATCACTACCGAAGTAGATTGCCCAACCTTCCTTCCGAGGAGTGGCTGGTAGATATGAACCATCAGCCTTCTGGTTAGCAGTCAAGCGCCTTAGGCACTACACCACCAGAATGGAAGGTTCAGTTAAAAAAAGAGCAAGACTCTCAACAAGATGGATTGACAAAGTGTCTTCAACAATGGGTTCAAGCACAGGTATGATCGTGAGGATGGGGCAGGACTGGGCAGGGTTCGTTCTGCTGTGCACAGGGTTATGTAAGTTGGAACAGACTCAACAGCACCTAACAACAGCAAGAGGAGAGAACAGTGAAGATCAGCAGACCACGAAAGCTTCGTGGCGGGAGGAGGCCATCAGCACACCTGGAAACTCAGGCATTAATTCTACACACGTCCACTGACCACACGCCACATATATACATATACATATGAGTCTCAAGGAAGACTGTGAAGAAGAGAAACACAGCTTGCATCTGAAAGAAATGTAAAATTCAGCTGAAGAGGTAACACACGCACATATACACATAATCATAACAACAATGCACACAGTAATAAGTGCCTTAAGGGGAGGAGAACCAAAGAGCTTTTAGAAAAGCTTCCAAACCAAAGAAGGGCTCATTTCTCTCTGGAGTGATCAGGAAAGGCTGTGAGGAGCTAGAAGTGCAGCTGAGCACTGAAGGATGAGCAACGTTTTGAGAGTCTGCATACTACCCTCATTTCACCCCAACCACAACAAAGACTCTTATTCATACTCTTATTGCCTAACCTATGTCCCCCTTCTCCCAACTTCACACCCAGCTTCCACCCCACCCACTTAATGACACTTTACTGACTACTCTTCGCCATCCTCTTCCCAATTCCTATGGCACTGAATCCATTTCTATTAATTGTTTGTTCTAGATTAGCCACCTGTTGTTTTTCACTTCCTGGGTGCAATCATATGTCGATCTGTTAGTTCCCCCTTCTTTATTCACACAGCCCTCTAACCTAGGTAGGCCCCGTACTCTGCATTTGTGGGCTTGGTCAAGCACGTTCCAGGGCCATGGCGTGTCAGAGGAGGGCAGCCAGCAGCGGGAGAAAGTCCTGCAGAACACTGAGGGCGGAGAGGAGAGGGGAAACCAGTGGAGCTCTATTAGGGACGAGGAGGGCCTAGGCTTAATGTTCAAAGGAAGGGACAACCCCATTTCCAGTTACAGGGGCAGCCCTGGTTCAAATGTGCGGATCCAAATGACATCATCCATTTCAGCTCTAACAGTTCCAAACCAAAAGGAAGCTCAATGATCATCCCGGATAAACAAATTCATCATTTTATAACAGAGGATGCAAAGGCCCAGGGAAGTTAAGTGACTTGTCTAAGGGTACACAGTAAACCAATGGGGAAAAAAAATTTTCTGCTGCCCCTAGCTCGAGGTCTTCTTCAGATAATTGAGAACCTTCTTAAAGAGGCACACATTTTTTAAAGAATGTCATAAACAGCGCGAGTATCAGTATCTGAATCACCCTTAGAAGTCTATAACACTAACACCTCAGACCCTGAACAAAACTACCTATTCCTCTCACAGTAAAGCCAGAGAATGCTTGAGAAGATGCAGATGTTTGAAAGTACCAGTCTCTGATCTACCCTAAAATCTGAAGGCTAAAGGCACTTGACTGCCAACCAGAAGGCTGGCAGTTCAAACCTACCAGCCACTCCTCAGAAGGAAGGTTGGGCAATCTACTTCCGTAGTGATACTGCCTCAGCAACCCAAGGAGGGGTCACTATGAGTCGGGTCCAACTCAACAGCACATAACAACAACAACAACAAACAGAACTTTGGACACTTGGCTATTCCATTAAGATTAAGTTTATACCACACATTGTAATACTCTAATTTTTTCATCTTGATATAATTATAAGCTTACAGAAAAGTTGCAAGAATAGTACAAGGAACTAAGGCTCCAGTGCCCATATTCTCCAGCTCTGCCTGTCACCATATACTTCACCACCCAACTCAAGTAGCAGCTCCCGCAAGCTGCCGTCTCTGATAGCTTGGCAGAAGTAATCCTTCCCTTTCTTTCGTGCTCTTTGTATTATAGCTACTCACACATACCACCCCGACAACATCTCCTCACAGAGGCAGAGTTAGTCTTTCATGACCATCATCTCCTAGTAGGGGAGAATTCATGTGGTGGACTTGGCTGCTAACTGAAAGGTCAGCAGTTTGAACCCAGCAGCTGCTCCTCAGAAGAAAGATGTGATAATCTGCTTTCATGAAGGCTACAACCTTTTTTCCTTAAGACGTTGTAGATAGAAACACTGTATGATCCAGCACACCCACTACAAGGTATATATCCTAGGGAAGTAAGAGCCATGACATGAACAGATACATGCAAACCCATGTTCATCGCAGCATGATTCACAGTAGCAAAAAGATGCAACCTAAGGGCCCATCAACAGATGAATGGATAAAAACTATGGTCCACACACACAATGGAATACTACGCAAAGTTAAAGAGTAACGACGAATCTGCAAAACACCTCATAACATGGATGAAACTTCAGGATATTATTCTGAGTGAAATTAGTCAGCCACCAAAAGACAATTATTGGATGAGACCACTGCTATAAAAAGTTAAGAAAAGTTTACACACAGAAAGAATTGTTCTTTGAAGGTTACCAGTAGGAAGGGAAGGGAGGGACGATCATGAACTACAAGACAGGCATGTATTAACTTGGGTAAAGGGAGAGGCAGTATGCAATAAGGGGGAGGTCAGCAGAAAATGGTCAAGGCAGTGGAAGAGAGAGAGGAGCACAGAGTTAAAGACAACAAAGGTGAACTCTATTATACACACAAAACGGGGTTGCCGAGGCAGTATCTCCATGGAAGTAGATTGCCCAGTCTTCCTTCTGAGGAGTGGCTAGTGAGTTTGAACCACCAGCCTTTTGGTTAGCAGTCAAGTGCCTTAGGCACTACGCCACAAGAGCTCCCACAATAATAGTAATAACAATAATTTACGAGTGGATGCACAGATACTCAATCTGAACAGGCGTGGGAAGGCAAATGGGACTACACTCATGAATATATTTAGGTTTGCCAGGGGATGTCTTTACCTATGTATTTATACATGTTTCAAATATATCCATGAATGTAGTAGTACAGGAGACAAAGTGATGAAAATGTTCTAATCATTACCAAATACCTTGAGGGACTCAGTCACTAGGTATAGAGGCTTAGAACCATAGTCCTGAAGGACACTAAGGTCAAGGGCATAACATATTCCACAAAGACAATGTTCATCCTACTTTGACAAGTAGAAACGAGAGTCTTAAAAGCTTGTGAGTGACTATCTAAGGTGTAACTATTGGCCTCTCCCTATCTAGAGCAAACAAGAGTGAAGAAAACCAAAGACATAAGGAAACAATTAGTCCAAAGGGCTAATGAAGCATGTGAATGCTAGCCTCCATAACCTTGAGAAGAGAAGAACTACATGGTACCCAGCTACACTTCTCACTGCTCTGAAAAGGATCACAGTAACAGATCCCAGATAGAGTAGGTGAAAATGTGGAACAAAACTATATAAATAAATAAACAAAAATAAATAAAGGCCAGGCTTATTGGTCTGATGAAGACTGGTGAAACCACCAAGTCTATGGCCCTTAGACACCCTTCAAGCTAAGAACTAAACTCAATTGCCATGACTCAACTTCCAAACAACAGACAGGCCTATAAGGTGAACAGTAGTATCATGAGGATATGCACTCATTAGAACAATCAAACATGTGAGATCAAGAGGACAGCATTTGCCCAGGGATAGAGCTAGGAAGGCAGGAGGGGATGAGAAGGAAGAATAAAGGGAAGGAGTGGGTGCAGAATGCTGTTACTGTGTGGGGATTGCAGTGAATGTCACAAAACAGATTATATATGAATTGCTGAATGGAAAAATAATTTGTTCTGTACACTTTTGCCCAAATTATAAATACAAAAAAAAAAAAAAAAAAAGGCAATAGCCTTGGAAACCCTATAGGGCAGTTCTATTCTTCCCTATGAGGTTTCCATGAGTCAGAATCACAACAACAATAACAACAACTAGCATCGTCATGGGATTTCCAATAGTTGGAGAACAAATGTTGTCCACCACTAACCTGTGCGTGTATTTCTTCATGTTCTATGTTCAATAAAGACTGAAAAAGATCATGTGACCTCACTACACTTTGACTGCTAGGCTATTGTAGAAGGCTCTCTTTTCTGGGCTATGTAATCCGAGTTCAACCCCCTTCATCTTCTTGGGTGCACCAAGGCCATGCAATAAATAACTGCTACGTTCCTCTGAGTTACTTCCAAATTCTATAAAAACAATTCTCAAAGTGCGAGTAATAGCAGACTAAGCAGTATATTGAAAATAATCTTGTTCAAACATCAAATACAGAGCCATAAGAAAATGATGTCCTACTGAGCTTGCCACCACTCTTCTGTCAGTTTGTTGTAATGTGGTAGCTCACATGTTGCTTTGATGCTGCATGCTATACCCTGGTGTTTCCAATACTAGCAGCGTCACTCATGGTTGACACGTTTCAGTGGAGCTTCCAGATTAAGACAGATAAGGAAGAAAAGTCTGGCAATCTACTTCAGAAATGTCTATGGGTCACAACAGAATACTGTCCAATATAGTACTAGAAGGTGAACCCTCCAGACTGGAAGGCACTCAAAACACACAGTGGCCATAAAAGTGGGTTCAAACACACCAATGATCATGAGGATGGCACAGGACCAGGGTACATTTCATTCTGTTTTGCCTGAGGTCACCAAGAGTTGGAGCCAACTTGAAGGCAACTAACAACAACAATAACTAGGATTTCAGTAAAGAGCGTAAGTCCAAGGGGATTTCTTGCTGGTTCTATTAAGACTGAGGCAAAGTCATGCAAATTTTAGGACATCCAAGAGATACACATACATACATACATACACACACACACACACACACATATAAAATATATTGACTAACAGTGACATATATATATATATATATATATATATAGACTGTTAGTCAATTCTATCCTATTGTAAATAGACCAACTAAAGGGATGCAGAGAAAGGAGAAGATGTTCCATTAAATCTAAACATTCAGAAGAATAAAGAGGTATATAATGTTTGGTTTAGTCTTGAATTATGAGGAAAATAATGGTTTATATGGTTGCATAATGAGAGTTCATTGTCAGTAGATAGATTCCCTCACATATTTGAAAAGGCTTACACAAAACTTGTTTGAAAGGCAGAGAATGTATGACCACTTGGGTTTCTTCAGTTGCACACTCTTCAATTCTAAGCCATGATAGCACACTGCAAGGCACCCTGATGGTGCAAGTGGCTAAGCACCCAACTGCTAACTGAAAGGCTGAAATTTCAAACCTACCACCAGCAGGAGAAAGATGCGGCAATCTGCTTCCATAAAGAGTTACAGCCTGGAAACTCTATAGGACAGTTCTACTCTGCTCTATAGGGTCACTTTGAGTTGGAATCAACCATTAAAAAAAAAACAACAAAAAAAAAACTCACTGTCATCGAGTTGGATCTGACTCATAGCGACCCCTCCTTGTGTTTCCGAGACGGTATCTCTGTGGAAGTAGATTGCCCAACTTTCCTTCCGCAGAGTGGCTGGTGGGTTTGAACCGTCATCCTTCTGGTTAGTACTCAAATGCCTTAGGCCCTTTGCCACCAGAACTCCATGGGATCAACTATGGCAATGGTTTTTTACTCTACAGCACAGTGCATCCTCAGGGTGCAGACAACACTCTTATCCACCAGGTGGCAGCATATCTTTAACTATCTTCTCACACAAGCAAAAAAAGCAACTAATTGTACCAATTACTGCTAACATGATTTCTGCAGTGCTAAAACACCTCGTGGTGTTCTGCAAAATCACTCTGTAAATATAACAGTGTCACAGAAGAAAGGCCTGGCAATCTAATTCCGATAAACAGCCACTGAAACCAAATAAAGCACAGTTCTGCTGACATACATGGAGGTGCATGAGTCAGGATGAACTCAAAAGCAACGGGTTACAAGGTAAAACAAGGTGGCAGCAGATTGCTCAATATCTATGCAACTTTGTAACCAGGACACTAACAATCCAAATAAAACCACTAACACAATTAAAAAGATATGTTCTTAAAATTTTCCCTACCTTATAAATATGTACAGGAAGTAAGGGCAGCCTGAGGCTGTTCAGGATAAAAACAGGGGAGAACCTCACAATAAGCCTTTCCTTCATGGTAAGCACATGGCCAAACAGGACTCAGTGGGGGAAGATGGGCAAAGGGGCACTTGTGGTGTACAGAACTGAGTTTCTTGGGGTTGGGGTGGTTATGTGAACGAACTAAATGAACACTGTATTCAGCTGCTATGTACTTGGTAGCACAAAACACTCAAATGCTGGGGGAAATTGTGTAAGAACAGCATAACTATTCCCATTCTCCTGTGAGCATCCTCCTATCTACCAAGAGCCAGTGAGCCAGCTCACAATGCAGAAATGCAGCAGTGTGGACACGGTCGACTCACCTGCAGTTAAATAGGCGTAATAGCACTGGGACCACCTGGACTCGTTTTTTAGCCTCTCAAAGGAGTCAAATGCATCCTTGAAGTTCAGCTCGATCATGCTGCACCAACCTAAGAGAGAAAAATTACTTTCAGCCTATTACCATAAAGCCGTAAGCTTTGATCCCATGTTTAAGCTACAAATCTGCTACTGCTGTTTTTTTTCTATAAGTATTCTATGTAAACTACCCGGACACTTAAGAAATTATTTTTCTACCTTAAGAAACTGGAGTGTTTGTCTTCATACTTAAAATGTATGAAGTTCTGAGTAAGACAGGCACTTCTTATGTCACCACTGATTAATCAGTATAGAAGAAAGTGATTTAAAGGTTTCTAGGAAAACACTCCAGTATGCCTCATACAGTTGAGAGACTCATCTAAGCACCTGTAGTATTTCTCCAAGAGAAGGCACCAGCCAACTCCACCACCACTGAGTCTACTCCAACTCATAGCAACCGTACAGGACAGAGTAGAACTGCCCCACAGGGTTTCTAAGGCTGAAAAGCTTTATGGAAACAGACTGCCTCATCTTTCTCCCACTGAGCAGCTGATGGCTTTGGACCATCAACCTTTTGGTTAGCACTCCAATGCTTTTAACCACTGTGCCACCAGAGCTCCCTAAAAGGAGGCACAGCCACAGGAAAAGGCCTGGAAAGCAATGTCATTAGGTTATATACATAGTGACTGACTCAAAATGTCTTATTAATGATTATTAATAATTCTTAAATCTTTATGAGAGGCAGAAAGCAAGCCAGTCAGCAATTAACACTTGCCCACCTTGCCCTCTGCAAATTGGGAGTGTTGCTGAGAAAGGATCCCACCTTCCTGGACCTAAACACAGTTTTTTACTGCTGTAAAGAATAGCAGCAACAGACATGAAAGGAATTTTAATACTACTGTTAACAGCAGTACATCCGTTGCCATCAAGCAATTCTGACTCATATTGACCCTACAGGACAGAATAGAACTGCCCCATAGGGTTTCCAAGGGGTTTTCATAGGTTTACAGAAGAGATTGCCACCTCTCTCTCTCACAGAGCAGGAGATAGGTTCGAACCACTGAACTTTCAGTTAGCAATAGTGTGCTTAACCATGTGCCATCAGGGCTCCTGGTAACAGTAGTAGTAGTAGTAGTTGTTAGGTGATGTTGAGTTGGTCCTCATAGCAACCCCACGGAGAACAAAACACTGCCTGGTCTTTTGCCATCCTCACAGTTGTTGCCATGTTTGTGTCCACTGTTGCAGCCACGGTGCCAGTCCATCTCATTGAGGGTCTTCCTCTTTTCTGGTAACCCTTATTGTACCAGACAAGTCGTCCTTCTCCAGGGACTGGTCCCTCCTGACAACATGACCACAGTGCAAGAGACACAGTCCCTCCTTCTTTGCTTCTGAGGAGCATTCTGGCTGTGCTTCCAAGACAGCAGCAGCTACCATCAGCTGAGCCCCCACTGTGTGCTAAGCACTGTGTTAGCGCTTTATATACTCTTCTCTCATACTTACTATAGGCACCCTGGTGGGAAAGTGGTTAAGTGCTCAACTGCTAGCTGAAAGGTTGGCAGTTCAAACCTACTAGCAGCTAACTCCACAGGAGAAAAACATGGCAGTCTGCTTCTGTAAAGATTACAGTCTAAGAAACTCTATGGAGTAGTTCCACTGTGCCCTATGGGGTATCGTTGTGAGTCAGAATCAACTTGACAACAGATAACCCTTCCTCCAGCCTTGCAAAGGTGGATGCTGGAATTCTTAATTCACCAGTGAGAAGATCTAAGTTTGTGACTTGCTCAAGGCCACACAGGTAAGAGGGAAGAATTGCAGATAGAAGGCCAAAGCACTTTCCTTTGTACATTATTGCCTCCATTAAAAAAAAAAAAAAATCTGGTATCAGATGTGTCATTAAATACTTGTGTGATCTCTGACATGCCATTTAAACTATGGAAGGAAAATCCACACTTCTAGAAAATTCAGTGTCAAATTCTATGGGATATGATATGAAACTGGTATGTTTTGGAGTAAAAATATAGGTTAATTATTTTCATGCTATAGTAGGCACCAGGATGTAAATATCCTATGACAGAAAAAGATTTGCATTAAAAGCAAAACAGAGCTGGAAGGCAGCATGGAATCTGAACAGGAAGTCCAAATTCTGATTTTATTGCTTATCTGATTAACCATCCTAATACTTGGGTGTCGGATTATTTGGTTTCTAAGCTTCCGTGAGCTCTAACATTCTATATTGTCACAGGCCTTGAAATGGTGTACAGAAAAAAAGGCCACCAAAACTAGGTTTTTTATTCAAGTTATCTGAAATGCATTTCATTCTACATTATAGCCACTAAACAGAATGCCAGCAGAGTTTAAATTACATACAAATACATTTTCCCTGGGATTATACTTCATCTCTTCTCCTTAAGTCACCACAGAGGTTTAAAACATAATTCAGGAACACAGTTAGGTCTACAGCAGGAAAAGCAAGTGGCAAGTGGCTTCCTAGGGGTCCAACCCAATAAATGCCAACTGCCTCCTTGCTACTCTCTATTTCTTCTCCACTGTCCCTCTGCAGAGAGCTTTCTGGATCCAATTTCCCTTTGGATTCCCATCACCATCACCATCACCATTTCTCCTTGCTCTATTCCTTTCTGCATGTTATGTGATGAGACCCCAAAGTATTAAGTTAAACTCTAAAACATATGAACCCCTTTATAAAAGAATTTCTTTTTGGTCTCAAGTCCAAAGTTCTCAGCTTAATAGAGCAACTGTTGCCTAAAAGGATTATGGAATTACTAATGCAGTGAGATTGGAGATTTGTAGAGAAAGATTTATAGGAGATTTGTAGCAAAAGACTCATAGCAACAATTTAGAGAAGGAGGTGGAATATCATAGACAAATAAATACTTCAAAGTACACAAACTGCCGAATGGGAAACATTTTGCTCCGTAAATTTGCACCCCAAGCACAATAAAATGTAAAAAATAAATTAATACTTCAAAGTCTGCTTATAAATGTATCTCCCAAAGGAGAGAAGCAGAAGAAAGCTGCTAACATTTTTAGAGCGCCTTCTGTTTTCCAGGTACCCATCAGATGCCTCCTAAAAGGTTATTTCATCCAAGTTTCACAATGGCCCTAGGGGGAGGCAGTTTACAATGGCAACAAAGTACCTCAGAGGGCTTAAGAAACTTGTCCAAGGTCTCAGACCTATTGGTGGAAGAGCTGGCATTGGAATACACCTGCCTAACTCTCTCCTATGCCATATTTTTATTCTCAGGTAAACAATAGTAAACAAATAGCTCCGAATTTCAATGTGCAGGCCAATAAGGTATTTTATAAATGATTATTAGTCACTTATTTAATGTTACCTATTATCCTAAAATCAATGTTATAAAGAACAAAATGTTTTAAAGTGTTAATGAGAATCAGAGAGATATGTACCAAGACATATGTTGCAATAACAAAGTCATTATTGTATAAGGCAGCAAACATTTTACAAAGATACAAATCGAATAGCATTAATAATGAAAAACTGCACAAGCAAGCATTTATGCTATTTTATGCTGTTTATGCTATTTTGGAAAAAGAAGCTGGACAGACATTTCATATTTACCAATTTCATACAGACACACATGTTGAATTTCTCTCTGATCTATTGCAAGTTCCAAAGCAGTGTGGAAGGAAGTCAAGGCACTGTTGATTTGACACTAAGGAAAAATGAAAGAGTTACTGGTTAAAATCTTTGACTAATGTTACAATCATAATTCAGTGCTTGTTTGTTGTTCTTGTGTTAACTAACTCCTTACAACAGCCTTCCTTCTGCTTAGACAACAGATTCCAGCAGGGGGTGTCTGCTCAAATCCACCTTCTCCCACAGACCTCTCTTCATATTCCTACAACAGAACTTGTTGTACCATTCTTGCTTGCTAATCTAGCTCCTCCATACAAGTTCTGAAAGGGCAAGACCTGCATTTCCTCCTCTTAACCTGGCAAACTGCCTGACACAGAAAGATTCTCAATTAGTTTTGAGTGAATGAATGAAGCCTTTCCAGTTAATCCCATTCTCAATGCTCTCTCTTTGATGTGACCTACTCACTGTTTACATCATACAATTTATAATTTGGTTCTCTCCCCCAGAATACTGTTCACCAATTGCTCCTGGCCATCGAATCTCCCTTCCCAACAATTCAGAAATTCTCTGAGGGTCCAGATTACATTTACCAACTTTTCTTTCATTTCATCTACTGATGTTAAACAAGGGATATCATTGGTGATGTCAGATGGATCTTGAAAGCAGAGAATACCAGGAACATGTTTGCCTGTGTTTTATTGACTGTGCAAAGGCATTCAACTATGTAAACCAAAACAAATTACAGATAACAAATGGGAATTCCAGAACACTTTATTGTGTCCATGAGCAACCTGTAGAGAGCCAGAGAGGTAATCATTCAAACAGAAGAAGGGCTTACTGCATGGTTTAAAATCAGTGAAGGTATGCATCAGGGTTGTATCTTTCATTATGCTTATTCAATCTGTATGCTGAGCAAATAATCTGAGAAGTTGAACTATATAAAGACGATGTGATCAGGATTAGCAAAAGACTCATTAACAACCTGCAATACGCAGGTGACAACACCTTGCTTGCTGAAAGTGAAGACTTGAAGTGCTTATTGATGAAAATCAAAGACAATAAGCCTTCAGTATGAATTACACCTCAACATGAAGAAAACAAAAGTCTTCACAACTGGACCAAGAAGCAACATCATGATAAATAGAGAAAAGACTGAAGTTGTCAAGGTTTTAATTTTACTTGGATCCAAATCAATGACTATGGACCAGGCTGTCAAGAAATCAAAACAACCTACTGCATTGGGCAAATCTGCTGCAGAATGTCTATTCAGTGTTAAAAAGCAAAGATGACACTTTGAAGACTTTGAGCCAAGCCATGATATTTCCAATCCCTGGATAATTAATAAAGAAGACTGAAGAAGAATTGATGCCTTTGAAATTGATGCCTTTGAATTATGATGTTGGTGAAGAATAATGAATACACCGTGGACTGCTAGAAGAATGAAAAAAATCTGCCTCCATAGAAGTACACCCAGAATGCTTCTTGTAAGTGAGGATGACGAGACTTCTCACTTTCGACATGTGATCAGGAGGGACCAGTGCCTGGAGAAGGACCATGCTTAGTAAACTAGAGGGTCAGCAAAAAAGGAATACTCTCAACAAGATGCAGTCACACAGTGGCTGCAACAATGGGCTCAAACATGGCGCTGACTATGAGCATGGCAGCGTTTCGCTCTCTTGTGCACAGGGATGCTGTGAGTACAGCACTTCACAGCGCAACAACAAAGCTGTTTAGAAGCCAACGGACCCTCAAATGCCTGTTCTACTTATTCCTGATCAAATACATACAGCTTTTTCTTTCACTAAAAATCTCTTTCAAAGTCTCTACCAATCTGGTAGCACAGGCACATAACAAAAGAACATAAAAAGCTTCACTAGGATGAAAAGGGTTAGACTAAATCCTAACTAAGGCACTGATCCACCATCCATCAGTTGTTATAATATGGTGGCTTGCACGGTGCTGGAAGCTGTGGCACCAGTATTTCAAATTCCAGGGTCATCCATGGCAGACAGATTTCCGTGGGCCTTCCAGACTAAAGCAGACTATGAAGAAAGGCCTAGTGATCTACTTCAGAAAATCAGCCAGTGAAAACCCTGTGAATAACCCAAAAAATCCACTGCCATTGAGTTGATTTCAACCCACACTGACCCCCATTGGGCTTGCAAGACTGTAAATCTTTATGGAAGTAGATTGCCTCATCTTCCTCCATGGAGCAGCAAGTGGGTTTAAACTGTCAACCTTTTTGATTAGTGGCCAAATGCCTTACCCACTCCACCACCAGAGCGCCTTCTATGAATCAAAACAGAGTATTATTCAGTACAGAGTGGGAAGATGAGCCCCCTTAGCTGGAAGGCACTCAAAATACACAGTGGCAGCAACAATGGACTTGAACAGACCAACTGTGAAGGTGGCACAGGACAACCATGAGTGGGTGCTGACTCCACAGCAACGACAATGCACCGATAGGTGTAAAAAACCAAACCTACTCCCATTGTGTTGATTCCAACTCACAGCAACCCCCATTGGGTTTTTCAGGCTGTAAATCTTTATGGAAGTAGCTTGCTTCATCTTCCTCCCACAGTGCAGCTGGTGGGTTTGAACTGCCAACCTTCTAGTTACCAGCCAAATGCCTTATCCACTACGCCACCAGAGCTCTGTTCTTGTTTCAATAATAAATATCAATCTTAAATGCCCTGGGAACTAGAGAGAGCCTCCTCACCAAATGCCTGTCTAGGAGCATTCCTTTCTTGCTGCCCGGCTAGTCCCTGAGCTGCAATCCCTACCCACACACTCTGGGCTTAGGCTTTTCTCCTTCCATTCCTCCTTTGCTGTATTTCCCTATATTCCCCTCTGCTGGTCATCAGTCATTCCCTTCCCAAAGCTCCTAACTGCCTCTTCCCTCCACAGCCAGCCACGCTGGGGGCACCAAGAGTCATAAAAGAGAAGCTGCAAACAGCTCTCAGGACCAGCTCTAACCCCCTTACTCAGCATCTTTAGTCCCACACCATGTCTGCAGGAAGCCCTGAAACACAAATGTACTGAGTCAGGAAGGTCATCTCAGAACAGTCTGTGGCGCTGGGATGTTGTAAGCCAAATGACTCATTAACCAAGGCCAAGGCTGGATCAAATCAATACCTGTTCATGCCCCAAAGCAATACCCACTGTCTGCTGTCAGGGAGGTTCCAACTGTAGCACTCAGTAATCTTATCACCATCCATGAAAGTTGATTAGGTAGTCACAGAAGATGCCTATCACCATATCACTAATTCCCATTCTCACGAAGCTTAAAATCTACTTGGGGGGAATCACGCAGGAATATGAAACAGGCCCACAACTCTGAAGTCATTTTCATTGATTGTGAGGCACACAGCCAAAATACCAAAAGGGGTAACTTGTCAATCAATCTCTTTTATGAAAAGTATTGTGTGTGTGTGTGTGTGTGTGTGTGCAGATCTCAACAACACTCATTCCAACTCATCTATAACTTTTTGCTCTCTGGTTCAACAGTCCTTTGGCTGCATCATACATGAACTTGACTTAGCATATTCACACAGAATCCAAAGCCTAGGGGTTCTGTTGTGCATGCATCTGCCCATTTGCTAAGTTGATGGCCCTCAGTTACCACATTCTGGATGGGTCCTGCCCACTGAGCTATTCCTAGCTGCAAGTTCAGTGCAGGACAAAGCAAGGCCACAGCGCCATTCAGAAGATGGAAACTTATTCAGGAAACATTATTTGAGCAACAACTGTGTGCCAGGGATGGCGCTGGCTCTAGAGCTATAGACAAGACAAAAAAAAAAAACCAACTGGCGCTGCTATCGAGTTGATTCCAGCTCATAGTGACCCCCATTGGGTTTCTGAGGCTGTAAATCTTTATGGAAGATCGTAAGTATGGCTTCAATGAGAAGTGTAAGAATCTTAAAGAATCAAGGCTATAGAAAAAAAAAAAAAAAAAAAACCAACTGTGAATCCAAGTTTTAAAAAAAGAAAATGACATTAGGATCAATACTACCATTTAAAAAAAAAACAAACTTTTCAAAACCTTTAAGAGGGGCATCCATTAATTTCATTTTCAGATGAAGAAGCTGAAGGTCAAAGAGGTTAAGTAACCTGCTCAGGGTCAACTAGCCAGCAAATGACTAGTACACAAACTCTGTCGATTTCCTCCAAAAGGTGCTATCATCAAGGAAGGGTATGTGTATGTTGTACAAAGATATCAGGTCCTTATTCCTAGAAGCTGTGAAAATATTACCTTATTTGGGAAATTAGTCTTTATAGATGTGATGAAGTGTTCTGAGATAGTGAGATTATCCTATGCAAGTGGGCCCTAAATGCACTCACTTGTATCCACAGACAGAGGAGGAGAAGGCAATGTGACCAAGGAAGCAAAGACTGGAGTGATGTGGGTACGGCTACAAGTCAAGAAATGTCAACGGCCACCAGAGGCTGTTAGAGGCAAGGACTGCATCATCCCCTAGAGCCTCTGGTCCTGCTGTCGTCTTGATGCCAAACCAAAACCAAACCCGCTGTCGTCAAGTCAATTCCGACTCACAGTGACCCTCACTGGGTTTCCAAGGTGGTAAATCTCTACAGAGGTAGACTGCCCAGTCTTCCCTCCACAGAATGGCTGCTGGGTCTCAACCTCTAGCGTTCTGGTTAGCAGTCAGGTATCTTAGGCACCATGCCACCAGAGCTGAACTGATTTTGGATTTCCAGCCTTCAGAACTTTGACAGAATACATTTCCATTGTTTTAAGATACCAGTTTTGTGGTAATTTTTTTTACATAATCCTAGTTAATTAACAGTTATTTCTTTAAAAAGTAAATTGTGACAAAAGTACCATGTTTTTTCTGTTAGTAGCATTTTAATAGAACTCTGAAGTATTGAGACCATATTATGGCATCTTATGGCAAAAGCAAGCATAACTTCAAGAATAATTCTAGTAATATCCTGGTAACCCACTGAGGAATACAATGAACCACCGTCAAAAGAGTGGAAATATATTTTCCTTCATTTTTCATCAAAATAATGTAAAATAAAAAAATGATCTCAGGAGTTTTTATGATTCCAAATTAA